TGTTTTAATAACCATTCCCAAATTGTGGTTGATTGGGAATGTTTCCAATGTCTTGCCCATAATTGTCTTGGAACAGAAATCAGTGAGTTTCGTGAATAGTTTCATAGGGCTTGGTAAATCTGTCTTTGTCACATTAAATGATATCAGTAGGCTATGAACCAAATGTGAGAGATGCTATCTTGAGATATGGTGCAGTATTTGTTGCTCGTACACCTGAGCCTGTTGGCATCCCCATCAGATATGAAGATGATCTGCTCCAGATGTCTTACATTCTAGCATTGGAATTGAATGATTGAGGATATCCTATTAAGTTGCACTGGTGTTCTAAGAACCACTGAAGCAACAGTTTATACTGTATTTGCAGACTTAATGGCATTGTCTTAATAGAATGAAATATGGGGAGCCATGTTTGTTCTGTAATGGGAATTCCAAGATCCCATTCTCTTTGAATTAATGCTGATTTTGATTAAGAGTACCAATTAACAGTGAAGTAAGTCCTATTATATTCAGTGGGGTTTATTCCCACATAAGAGTGCACAGAGTGTGACTCTCCTCTGCCTTTTCCTGAAGGGGGAGGACATACTTATGAAAGGTCATTGACATTGGTGAAGGTAATTGAGAATGACAGACTTAGAAAATGTAGTTTGAAAGTGAATAGAATAAGTTGAACACTGCATAAACAACATAGGGTGAGTTCTGTCTGTTTTAGCACATGTGGCTGATAGCAAAAAAGTGAAGAGTGAGAGTTGAGGCGTTAGAGTTGCCTACATTTCTTACGTGTTCCTTGAAATACTTTATGCAACAGACCAGCTTCTGCATGTGCTGCAGTGGCTAGAGCTTGTTGTTTTGTAGCTCAGATGAAATTCTTGCTTGAGCTATCAAGTTCACTGGGTGGCTTTGGATAAATTGCAGTGACTCAACCTACTTGCCTCATAGGGTAGATGCTGTGGTTAACAAGAGAGAACCCCAACTACATCACACGGAACTTCTTAGAAGAAAGGTTGGGTGATAATGTGCCATAGTATTCCAGCCACATGCTACATACACCTGACTTGACAAAATGTTTCCCTTGGAGGATTTGGGCATGAGTTATTGAAGTCTGCATTTGTTGTTCTTGACTTGTCTAGATACTTCCATTGTAAAAGGAATAGTGCAGGGATGTGGCTTCCCATTTACTTTTTTTTTCTTCAAGTGAAGAGAAACTGGTTTGACTTGTATTTCTTGTGTGATGAACACATTCCAAGACACTATGCTTATTAAAGTATTTAATTTAAAGTAAAGTACCTTGAGTGATGTTACTTAAAAGTGATCTGGACTTGAACAGAGCAGAAAGAGTTGCATATGCTGCTCTTCTATTGTGTTACATGCAGTAGAACATTTACTTACATATACAGCCTTCCCTTCCCCTTTTTTATTGAAAGGGTTGTAGAATGTGAAACAATCCATAAAGATTATAGAGAAAAAAATACAAAATTACGAAGCTCAAGAAGAGGTGTGGAAATGTTAGCTATAGGGGAATAAATGAAAGAACAGATAGAGAATGCATATGTAATAAATCCTTATTTACATTAAATATGTACACACACTAGGGCTGTGTGATAAATTGCCATATTGTTGAATACCGGTATTGAAATAACATTGTGATAAGTGTTTTGACAAGGCAATATACCTGTGAACAAAAGGTGGAGACTTGACAGCTGCCCAGGGGGTAGCTCAGCTGAACAGATACTTTACAGATAATTTGCAGATAATATTCAGGCACCATGTCTCCTGCATTGTTTGCGCTCTCCCTCCTCCCTTCCTAACTGGAAGTGGGGCTTCCGCAGCTTCTGATTGGCTGCAGAAGCCGCAATTTGGTTTTCGAACATTTTGGAAGTTGAATAGACTTCCAGAACGGATTCCATTCGACTTCCAAGGTAAGACTGTAATCATCGTTGACTGTTAAGGATCCACATCACCGTAAAATATTTCATGGTGATGATTTTATTTTATTTTTTGTATTTGTATAAAGCTGCTTCAAGACTGAATGTGCCCAGTTAAATAAAAGTATTGCTGTGGTGATTGGGAATGTGGTTTGTATTATAATCTTTAATAGATGTAGATCATGTTCTTTTCCTTCCAACTTATTTTTTAAAAACTAACGGAAGAGAAAGGTGGGATGCAATCATGCTTGTTTATGGTAGCAGAGAACTCATGAAAAATACTAGAGGTTGGAGGAAATTCCAAGTGTCTAGGAGTGGGAAAACAAAATGCATGGATCTTCTGCTCTTCTCAAAACCAACACATTCTGTGCAGAGAAGATAGATAGTGAGAGAATCTTCCAAAGAAGTTGGCTATTAATTTTTTGAGAACATATGTACAACCATCTGTGAAAAAAAGATGCTGGCCATATATTTGATTTGATTTATTGTATAGGTTTGTGGGGTTTCAACAAAGCCATTTTTAAATATACTTAAAACCTTACTTCTGAGCGACATTGAACAGTCAGATTCCTCTGGTCTGCACCAGTTCTAGGTCAGCCTCTAGGCACCAGCCATGGTTGGAGGCAGAAATGCTTCTGAAAATTGGTTGCCGGAAACCAAAGGGAGGGGGGAGAGTTCTCTCCTGCTCGAATCCTGCTTGCAGGTTTCCAACATGCATCTGTTTGGTTCCTGTACAAACAGCATGCAGGACTAGATGGGCCATTGGCTTGATCCAGCAGGGCTTTTCTTATGTGAGGTAACGCTAGCAGAAATGAGAGGTGGTAGCTGACGACGTGGACATGACATTACCAGTTGGTGACTTGAGCAGTGGTGGAGGGTAGATAGGTCACCATGGTGCAGGCACACAGCTGTTCATTGGCCAGCTGCATCCCATGTGGGCATGGACCTATGACATAATATGTCCAGGTCCATGTGGGGTACATTGAGCTAGTCAGCAGCTGCTGCTGACCTGGCGCCTCTTGCCTCCAGTCCCCCACCCTCCAAAAAGGGCACAATTTCCTCTTAGGAATGTGTGCTGCTCCTTTGAAGAATTTTTTTTAAAGCAAGAAGTATGTGTAAGTCCAAAAAGTGTTTCAGAACGATCCATCTCCTCTCTAGTTCATTCATCATCTCCAGATATACCATATGCACAAAATGGCGCCATAAATGGAATGTCTAGGCGCCGTTTTTGTTTGTTTTGGTTTTGCAGTGGACTTTATTATTATTATTATTATTATTATTATTATTATTATTATTTCTGTACTGCTTTATATTTTAAAGAACAAATCTCAAAGCAGTTTACAACACATTAAAACATGAAATAGAACAATCCAGAATAAAACACTCTTTTTATGGCAATGAATGCTTTATGTGTGCTTGGCAACATGGAGACTGTGTATTCCAATTATTATGTATTCCAAAATACATAATAATTTGTTTTAATGAAATTAAATTCCTTTAATTAAGGAATTTTAAATTGTAAGTACTGTATTGTATATATGGACTGTACTTTTACTTTCCAAACATGATACAGTGGTGCCCCGCAAGACGAAATTAATTCGTTCCGCAATTTTTGTCGTCTAGCGAATTTTTCGTCTTGCGAAGCACGAAATCCCATAGGAATGCATTGAAAATCAATTAATGCGTTCCTATGGTCAAAAAAAGTCCAAACAAAGCCAAATTTGGTACAACAACAGTTTATTAACTGCTCTTTAAAGTCACACATACTGTAAAGAGCAGTTCAAAAATTGAAGGGAAAATAAATTAACTTTATAAACAAAACATGTCTTTGTTTTTAGACAAAGAAAACAAAGTCGCGAGACGTTTTCGTCTTGCGAAGCAAGCCCATAGGGGAAATTCGTCTTGCGAGGCAAATCGAAAACGGAAAAACCTTTCGTCTAGCGAGTTTTTTGTCTTGCGAGGCATTCGTCTTGCGAGGTACCACTGTAATGTTATAACAAACCAAGTGGCTTTTGATCTGTAAATGGTGTTAAAAATGCATATTTTCCTATTTTCTCTAAGATTTCCATTTCTTCCCCCCACAAACCAGGGGAAAAAATGCACCACCCACCCCACCCCCCGGTTTCAAAATTTCTATAAATTTTATACATCTGCACCTAGCATCTGAAAGGAAACTACCGCCCCTGTATTACTGGCCTTCATAACCACTTGAAAGTGGGTATTATTATGCCACTAGATAAAATATTTTTAAAAAATGTTTATTAGCTTGTAGCCCTGAAAACACAGGTTTGTGTTGCAGGAATGCAATGGAGGAGTTCTTACTGTGATTTCATATTTTTAGTCTGCATATTCCTTGATAAATAAATTTATCAGGAAATAAAGGACAATTTTATGCTGTGTTGTATTACTGTACCTTATTGCAGTGTACTATAAACCGAAAGTGCAGCTTTCATGCAACAGCCACATGAAACACATGTCTTAGAGCGCGTAAAACTCAGCAGGCTTCATTCTGCTCAGAGCCCAGATCTTGAGTATAATTGATGGAACATTAGAAGGACTTTTCCTTCTATCAAGTTGGACAATTTCCCCATCTAGCTACATAATGTCTATACCAGGGGTAGACATTCCCTTCAAATGTTGTGGACCATACCTTCTCTCTACTACTCTCAGGTATCAATTCTGAAAAATGGGAACAAAAAATCCAAAATGAAATGCTACAGATAACATTTAAGGACAAAGGATGGAATCCAGCTGTTCTGGTCCAGAAATTCAGTATTACATAATATAAAGGAGTTGAAGCATGCAGTTCCCCCACCTTCTGTTTAATAGAAAGTAGGCACAGTGGGTGCCACTATTGCTGGTCTGATGCAAAGCCCTGTTGTGTACTCGGGTCACTGCAGCCATGGGTAGGATTGGGTTGTTGGGCAGTACTTTTTTTCCTTTTTGGAGGTTAAAGCAATTGAGTAAATGTATTTTCACAAGTGCAGGGTTGCACAGTAGTACTGCAGTTTCATTCCTAGTACTGGAATTTTGTAAGTGTAACTTCTGCTTTCTTCCTTTTATGAAAAAACATTTTAGATATGGGAAAATTGTGTCTACGAAAGCTATTTTGGATAAAACGACCAACAAATGCAAAGGTATGTTCCTTGTTAATTCTTTTTCAATTTTTGATTTAATATCCTTTAAAAATTGCTTTAAAACACACACACACACACACACACACACACACACACAAATAAATGGTCTTGCCATGCATTACTCTGGAGCATTTGTTCCTTAGTAGGTCTGGAATGTACCCAGCCCTACAAACAGGGTGCCAAAACTTCAGATGACTTCAGTCAAATTTAACATGCATGGCACTGTTTGCCATTTAGCCTCAGCTTCAAAGAAGAAAGGGAGGTTTGAAATGCTTCCACCCCACCCCCCCTTAGCCTGCCAAGATGAGAACTCTTTACAAAGGACCATTTGATGGCAGAAAGTATCTGAAAAGATTACATATTGTGTAAATTGGCTTTATTAATTAGAACGAAGTAGTGTTAAGCAGTTCTTAATTGCATGTTCCAATCCTCTAATTGTATTTGTGTTCTGTTTCTTTTTGAATATAATGGAGCAGGGGGGGAAGGGTTTCATTTTCACTGACATAATTATAGCTGGGGGGGGAACAATAAACTTCTTTCTGAGACACCGGGTGCATTAATTTAGTTTGGTGACCTTCAGTGTAATTATGATTAGATCATTTCCTAACAGAATGAGTGGTGGGTGGAACGTAATGGCAAACACTGACATATCAGGTTGCAGCCCCTCTTTCCAAAAGGGGAGGAACACCACTCTTAAGCACAGGAAAGCATCTGCCAACTTAGCAAGGCTAATATTGACTCCCTCCACGATTAGGGACAAAGTTGACAAGCAAGAACAAAGAAAGTGAAAGCTCATCATTAACCGAACCCAAACATTTTACTCTAAGGCTGGTGGTAAAAAGCCAGTTATTTCAGAACACATACAGAGGATTTTAATCTGAAAAGAGATTCTATTAATTGGATTTGTCCACATTATTTTCATGCTGATGCTAAACTTAATGCTCAGATGTAGCCAGTGTTTGAAAACAGGAATTACTTAAACTGAATTAGGCTGCAGTCCTATACCCATTTGTGGGAGTGTCCCACTTGGGACTTCACCTGAATAAACATGTATAGGATTGCAGTGTTAGGATGACAGAGTACCCTTTCCGTGGTGGTCCCCAGCCTGTGGAATGACCTTCCCACCTACATACAGCAGGCAGCTGTAGTGAGCTTCTACTTACTCAAGCTTCCGCAGGCCTTTGGTACTAGTCAAATGACTCCTGCTTACTACAGTTGTCATATGTTATCCTTCTTCTTTATTGGATTGTTTTGTACTTAATTGTTGTGCAGCAATCCCTCATTTCATGTGAGGGGTCTCTTCCCAGGAGGTTGTGGGGACCATCCAGAACAGTGTGGAAGATGAGTGCAGAAGGAAGGTAGAATCTGCACAAACCGTCTCTCTCGCTCTTTCATTAACAAAGGCATATGCTAGAACAAAGACTCTTCTGCGAATGGAAAGACTCCGTTTGCAGAAGGCCACTACAGTCGCACCTTGGAAGTTAGACGGAATCCGTTCCGGAAGTCCGTTCAACTTCCAAAATGTTCGGAAACTAAATCACAGCTTCTGAGTGGCTGCAGGAAGCTCCTGCAGCGAATCGGAAGCCGCAGAAGCCCTGTTGGACGTTCAGCTTCTGAAAATAGTTCGCAAACAGGAACAGTCACTTCCTGGTTTGTGGCATTTGGGAGCCAAAATGTTCGAGAACTAAGCTGTTCGAAAACCAAGGTTACGACTGTAGTGGAAACAACATAGTGTCTTCATTTTTCTTAATAAAGAGAATAAAACGTAATCTTACTACAATATCTAAATATATTAAATATATATTATATCATATGTTATTTAGAATAATAATATAATATTGGGGGGATCCAATGAAGTAGCTCTGTAAGCACAAGGACTTTGGACTGCACAGTGAAAATTCACCTCCCAGTCTTATCCCTGTGTACTCCCTAAATCTGTTCTGGGGTTTCCCGCAATGCTCCAGAGCAAAGTTGGAAATGTCACCCTAGGAGAAGATATGGAGGGAAAGTTGACTTTCTCCCTTTTAATCAAATACTTAATTTCAAACATTTCTGATAGTTGGGGGAATACGCTATAGTAAAAAACAATACAATGCACAATAAAATTAAAATCCAAACACAATCTATATTCCAAATAAATTAAAACTTGTAACAATGGGCATCAAGGGCCAACAAAGGCGAAAGTAAATAAAAAAGTATTCAGCAACTGAACTAGCATTGACATATGCCTTATTGCTCAGGGAAGGTTATGTGTGCCACCACCAAAATGACTGCTTAATCTCCTCTGTTTTACCACCATGACCATCATCAATAAAGAACATATAATAAGTTGCAAAAGAGTCTCTTTAATTTAGTATATGGGTGCACTCCCAGTTGCCATCTAATCCTTGACTGGGTTTAATAAAGATTTCCAGATTCCTATCTAGGATGATTGCGATGAGAGTGTCTACCCAAGCAGACAGCATGCATTCCTCCTTTTAATTTAACTGCATGTAGTGAAAATCGGGACGCGGGTGGCACTGTGGGTTAAAGCCTCAGCGCCTAGGACTTGCCAATCGAAAGGTCGGCGGTTTGAATCCCTGCGGCGGAGTGCGCTCCCGTCGTTCGGTCCCAGCGCTTGCCAACCTAGCAGTTCGAACGCACCTTCGGGTGCAAGTAGATAAATAGGGACCGCTTACTGGCGGGAAGGTAAACGGCGTTTCCGTGTGCTGCGCTGGCTCGCCAGATGCAGCTTGTCACGCTGGCCACGTGACCCGGAAGTGTCTTCGGACAGCGCTGGCCCCCGGCCTCTTAAGTGAGATGGGCGCACAACCCCAGAGTCTGTCAAGACTGGCCCGTACGGGCAGGGGTACCTTTACCTTTACCTTTAGTGAAAATCTGCTGGTCTGCACAAAGCACTAAAAACCATGAGCAAGCTTTAATTGAGCTCAGACACATCCTCTTCTTCACATCTTCCTGCATGGCTGCATCTTCCTAATTTACTTTTAGTTTTAAAGAATATCTGCTTCGTATTACACCCCGGTTTACAACAACCAATGATTAGTTGCTAAATAAGCCAACTTCAAGCCATGGTTTATGAAGCTGGCTTGTTGTAACAGCCTGTTGCTTGTTTTAAACCAGGATTCTTGGTTCATGCATGTTGCTCACCCATGCTTCTTTCAAACTAGTCTTGGCCATGTGGGTGATGGGGAGAATGCAGGCCCTACTCTTTGCTGAATCTCTCAGAAGCTTGCCAGCATAAGCACTGAACCATGGCATGGTGCAAGTATGAACCAGCCCAAGAATAGCATGTTGTTGTTGTTTTTTAAAAAATATGGATAAGCAGGTTGTTGTATTTAGTGATATTGCAGTCATATTTCAGTGCAGATAAGGGTTAGCAACAAATATGGGCTAAATACATTTGGCCATTCTCTTCACGATGAGATATCACCATTCATGGATGAATGCCCATTGTATATTGTATATTCAGTAGATGTACAAATAATGCGCATATACAATTTTTGTAAAAGGCTACAAGTGATAGCCTTATATATGGCACTGAACAAGGAATCATTATAGGCAGTAAATGGAGCATGTGCCGATAAAAAACAAATCCAAACAAACGTCTCAGATATTTGTTTTTTGCGATATGAAATGTTTCAAACTAAGACAACAACTCTTTTCTAGTGAATTGTGCAGTAGTAACGGTTAAAGAAAAAAAGCCTTTTGGAAGCTCCGGAAAACAATGCAGAGTGTGCTTTCATAGACACTATTTCCTCATCCTCGTTTTTCAGGGGATAGGTTATGAGGATGAAATAAAACATGCATGTTATAAGCCGTTGCCCTTAAGCTTTCAGATGAAATAAAAAGTGAACACTTCAGCTTTTCTTACCCAATAAATAAGCAATGTTTTAAATTCCAGGTTATGGTTTTGTAGACTTTGACAGTCCAGCCGCAGCTCAGAAAGCAGTATCCGCTCTGAAGGCCACTGGAGTCCAAGCACAGATGGCAAAGGTAAGATAAATGCATTTGGACCACTCGGAGAGTAACCTCAGAAACCTGTGTCCTCCAGTTATTGTCGGACATTTTAACTCCCATCATCCCTCACTGCTGACCATATTGGCTGGGGATAAGAAAAGAGTTATAGTCCAGCGACACCTGGGGAGCCACATATTCTTCACCCCTGCTCTACACTCTGGTGATAGTGGATCCTTCCTGGCATGAAATCAATGCTTTCTCATCAATGCCTTCTCATAATGGACCTTCTCATGTGTACTTGAAGTCCTCCATCATTTTAAAAAACAAAACATGCTCATGGGGCAAGGTCTTAAACCATCACCTAGGATGACTTTTGACAGTACTACTCCTGGGGTACTTAGATTTTGTTACCATAAATCTATAGTGCTGACAATTTGTCACTTGAAGAGAAACCAAATACTTTACTCAGGAAGTAGTCACCACTTTTGGCTACCTTACAGAGCATGCCTGGAATCTTTCCCTCTAATTCCAGTCTCCAGGCATGAGTGTTGTTGATTAATGTAGCCCAAAACAGCACAACAACGCAGAGAAAGGAGGTTATCAGTAGAGGAGGGGAAACCCCAAGGTTTGCAACAACAAGCCTTTAGGAAGAAAAGTAAGGGAAGAAGCACATGGAACTTGGACTAGAAAAATGGCTTACTTTGGAGATGGAGGAAGCCAATGCCAGGCATGGTTCTCTCACTAAAAAATAAATTGCGGTATTTTTGTCAGGTTCTGCTGATCTAGAATCAGCCATTTCAGCCACCAAAAGAAACGTAATCTGATAAAACTCAAGTCAGCCTGAGTAATGCTACAAATGTTCCCATTTTACAAAGGCCAAAGGTTGCCAACAGAATGCATATAAATGAGGAGAGAGAGCACTCTTGTGGAAAGAACTGAACAGCGGGGGGCGGGAATAAACTTTATTCAGAATCTGAACTTCATTAAATAGAAAATCCCTGCCATTTCCTGGAAAATTTTGTATTGGTTATAGCAGCAAAACACTTAATTTTTCTAAAGCATATTCCCCTACTTCCATTGGTAATTCAGTGCTTACCTCTCTGCAGTAACGGCATATGAAATGAAAGAAGTAGAAAATGACTGAAGAGTGTGAATCTTTGCAGAGTTAGAATAGAGCAGTTCGAATAGTCTTTATTTGTATGTCAAACTTTCATAAGACCAGCAAGTGGGAGCCATTGGTGTGGTGGTTGCTCTTGTTGTTATCCAACTACAAGTCAGTCGAAATATAATTACAACAAAAGAGATACATTAATGATAGAGATATAATGATAGAGATATAAAGGTAACAGAACTCTCTGGGATGCGTGGTCATCAGCTGCCAACACATTGTAATAGCAAATCTATTCCAACAATACTGTTTACCTAAACAGAATATATATAATTTCTTAAGTGACTTGCAACATCCTGAAAAGTATGTACTCCTGTACTCTGGTGCACTAATATATTATAGACATACCCCACTTTTCCACAAGGTTAGTTAACTTTATTGTATTTACTATTTCCCATGTTTTGATCCTCCAATCTTTTGCTGTCTGGATCCTTATCTTTGTCCACTTGTGACAGGCAGCTGTCAATAATGGGAACTATTGTAAACTATGAGTGATGCAGGTCTTCTGCACATACGTATATTGCAATCATTCTTTAAAGTCTATCCTTCCAAGTTTGAAAACATAGTACTTTCTAAAATATTCAAGTGACTAAATAATGTGAGAGCTCCTCAGAATGATTAAATATGAAACAAATCTGGCACACCTTTCTTGTCCGTTCTGCTTCTTCTTGAGTTATGTATAAACCAGGGTGGCTTTTTTCAGCTTAGGCAATATTTTTCCAAATTCTCCACTGAGGAACAGTGGAGCTAATAACCTGAAATGTCCTTGGATTAGTTCCAGGACAGCAAAATGAAAACCATATGTCTATTACTTAATGCACATTTTATCACATGCATGCACACTTGCTCTTACTAGATGACTTTCTTGCATTATGGCTGTTCTGTGGGTCTCTGTGTTAATGGTGGTGTCATAATATTTAATATCTAGGCACGTGACGGGTGAGAGGAACACACAAAACAAAAACTGGAAATAGTGCACATTTGTCTCCAATGTTAATGAGCCCTCTTTGTGTGAATTTGGGTGGTGATGCTTTTAAATGCAGCAATGTGTTTATGGTTATGCTCTTAAATTTCAAACGGAAGTTGGAAATACAAGAGGATAGAAATCTGAAAAGGCAACAGTGCTCTGAACTATGTGTATGTGCTGATGGGGTCCACTTATAAAACTCAAAAGGCAATGTGACTATAATTTCATCACCCTTATTACATATGATGAGTGATAAGCATCTAATTCCATAGTATTTGGAATGAGCAGAGTTTCAGTCAGCAAAGGGGAGAGAAAGGGAAATATATTTCACATTGTGAATAGCAGAGTTGGCCAACTAGAGATGTCATCCTGGTTCAGGCATGCAGAGACCACATTTTCTAGATTAGATTGTGGCCTGGACCTAGTCTGATGGAGAGGATAAACCTGTGTGTGGTTTGAACCATTGCAGACAGAAGCTTACAAGGTTCAATGTTCCTTTGCTTGTTTATTTTGAAAATCTTACACAGAAAGCTAGCATGTCACAGAGAACACGAGCCTAGAACCTGTACATCTAGTTTGCTGTAGACTGAGCACTATGTTTACTAACCTGCATCAAGAAGGAAATGTAGTTTTAGCCCATAAAAGGTAAAGGTAAAGGTACCCCTGCCCGTACGGGCCAGTCTTGACAGACTCTGGGGTTGTGCGCCCATCTCACTCAAGAGGCCGTGGGCCAGCGCTGTCCGGAGACACTTCCGGGTCACGTGGCCAGCGTGACAAAGCTGCTCTGGCGAGCCAGAGCTGTACACGGAAATGCCGTTTACCTTCCCGCTATAAAGTGGTCCCTATTTATCTACTTGCACCCGGAGGTGCTTTCGAACTGCTAGGTTGGCAGGCGCTGGGACCAAGCAACGGGAGCGCACCCCACCGTGGGGATTCGAACCGCCGACCTTTCGATCGGCAAGCCCTAGGCACTGAGGCTTTTACCCACAGCGCCACCCACGTCCCAGTTTTAGCCCATAGGTAAGCTTAATTTTTTGTGTAATGCAAGAGACCATTATTTACCGTTATGTTAGCTGGTTAAAGGGGTTAGGGCTATAAAGTTAGGCAGCTGACAATATTGTTATATAAATGACAGGGTTCAGGAAATGACATCTTAATGTGTTTGCTCTTCAACAAAAGGTTTCCTATTTTGAATAAGGGCTATTGATGCTGTGTCTTGATATCTGGGTGTGCTGTGTAATCTTAAAATATACAGTATGTTTGCTTTTATAAACGAATTGCTTATGAGACAGCTTAAAGTTTTCCCTGTAGGTCCTTAGCAGTTTCATTTATGGTTATTTTCTGTCCTGTTCATATGTTGCTTTTGTCATCTGACGGACTAATCTCCTTACTCCCCTCTACCACCTTCTCGCTCTTTGCAAAAGGTACAGCTCTGAGCTCGGCTTCTAATGGCTCTCTGTAAACTCCCTTTAATCTTACTGCCACCCCACATACAATGTACCTGAATCCTTCCCATCTCTAATGTAGCCAAATAAGTGGCATGTGGTGCAATACAGTAATTTTATTAAAACAGAAGTTATGTGATCACTTAGTGCACAGAAGGGTATGGTTTCTGTTATGTTTTATTCCCCCCCCCCCTTTGTTACATATAAAGCAATGGTTATGTAGTACTAATACTATTCTATTATGTCCAACCCTGCTACCACCACCCAAACACACTCTAAACACCTCCAGTTCTCACTCCAACTACCACCCAGTCTGAAACTCAACTTAATCTCTGAACAGTCTCACACTAGTGTTGAGGCTCCCTCTCAAACTCTTACTCAGTCACCACTCACTTCCAGCATTCCAAGAACTCTCTCCTTCTCCCAGCCTAACACTTACCTTAATTTAAATACCATAATTACCTACACATTTACCTTAATTACTCTAATATCATGACATACACACACAATTATATTTACTTAAACACCAGAACATCACCGTAGACAGTAGAGTGAGATGTCTCTTACAACATACTTACTCTGGACCACTGCTTGGTCTCTTGGATTCCTGTTACATGAACTCAAGTGTACTTCTTAAGTTTATTGTGTTAATTTGCCTACTCCACCTAATTTCCATGAGCTCAATGCAATGTTAAAATAAGGTCTGAACACCTATACATGCCTACAGTATATGCCCATTGATTTAATTAATTGAGAGTTCCTCTTACAAAATGGAAACTATTTATTTTTATTTTTTCCCCATGAATGCTTTTGGCTTTTTGTGGTCCTCTCAAATAAGGTTAGTGGAATACACGTGGAGCTTCTAAAAGGTCTCATTGCATTGTTTTCTTAACAAAGCCCTGAACATCTTCATACAAAGGGTTGTCCTCTTATCCAAAAGGCACTTAGGAATGTCTCCATTCTCATGAATTGAAAAGAAACGCTGTTTCAGATTTGCTCAGCTATGTTCTTGTACCATAGTCTGGCGAAAAATAAAGGCCCCTTTCAGCCATGCTGCTTGTCTTGTTTGAATGCCACTATAATCAGGAAGCAGATACTGTCTTTTGTGTTCATACATAGATTTAAGACCAGTATGAATGGCACACCATTTTTCTGTTTCAGTGAAGCTTTCTAGTAGCAGTGCTGAAAGTTCCGTGATGGAATTGAATCGAGGAATCTTGTGCTAAGCTCTATGAGGTTAAGACTTCTCTTCCTGCACTATCTGCCCTGTGAGGAGGAAGAAGAGGCTAGGGAGGCAGGCACAGACAACATTAGTGCCTGCTCCAGTGGGACTGTCCCCTCCCATCGGGCTAACTTTGTTTTAGTCCTTTAGAATCATAAGCTGCCTTGGGTGCCCACACAGAAAAGCATATATGAATGCAGTGACTGACTGACTGACTGACTGACTGAATGAATGAATGAGGTACTAGATTGTGATTGTCAGCACTGAGTTGCAAGCTGAGGAATAATTTGGTCATAATTGCACTAATGTGCGAAAGACTCCCATATTATTGTGGGTTGCTACACACGTTTCCTCCGACAATACTTAGATCATTTGGGGGATGGGGGCGCAATCTTTCCTCAGGTGGCAAGTTGTTGAAAGAGTTACATGAGCATCATTTCACTTCACTACCTATGTATATCCCTTGTTGGGAAGCAAGTAACATACTGAACCATGATATACATGGCACTTTCTCCCCTGCCATTGCAATGGAATCAAGTTCTATGAACCAGAAAGGATTATCAATCATGCCTACTGAAAATGTTGCCATACAATGTTACCTTTGCTTCCACTGGCATTTTTTATATTTGACTAGATAATGCAAGGTGTGTTTCTTGTTTTTGGTTTTTGGTTTTTATTTTCCCCTTTCTCTTAACTGGTTTAAAGCTGCAGTTCTATACCCACTTACTGGGAAGTGATCCCCATGGAACATAATGGCTCTGTGTTCCCTGTCTCTCTCTAGAGCTTTCAAAGAGAGCTAGATAAATACATATGGTGGTCCCCATGTGTTGGGATATTGTTTTGGTGCTCCCAGCATACTGAGAGCTTCTACTAACATGGTCTTTTAAGGAAATCTGCAATAAGCCCCACTAATCTTTTGGAACTTCCTGAGGGTCACAGCCTTTCTGCAGAGCAAAGAGAATGCAAAGCTGCTTGCAAGTATATTAAAACATAACAAAAGTTGTTAAAGCAATGGTTAATTTTTAAAATATTAAGCGGGAGGAGGGGGACACCTATATGACAGCAGCCAGATTGGATTGATCCAGCCTTGCTTACAGCAGACCTACTGAAATCAGTAAGTTAGTTGTGGCTAATATAAGACCCATCAATTTCAATTGCTTTATTCTAAGCATGACAATTTATCAGCAGAAGCTATGAGAGGAGGCTACATAGCCAATGTTCCCAGACAGAGAATTACATAATGTAGACTCCATGATAACTAGAAAAAAGGCCCAGCTTTATATTACAACTTGGCCCTACAAATTTGGGAACATGAATGAAGGATTCAGCCACAGACCTCAAAGGCCATGGAGGTATATCCACGGTGGCTGCAATTCATCCATAAAAATTTCTATAACATATGAATTTTGTTGCAATTATGATGTTTTCTGCCTCTGCTGATCTTTCCCCCTATTTTGTGCACCTATTGCACAATATAGGCAATTCAAGGCACCATTCCAAACTAAATAAATACAACCACTTTTTTTTTTTAAAGAGGCTTAGTATTTCAACTTGTTTGGGAGGAGGGGAACTTCTAATTATAGAGATTGTGATTTCAAGGGTGAGCTCTGTGTTCTAAGCGGTCTTGGAGCACAATTATTTCAACTTCATGCTTCATGTACTTTTTAAAAGGAAAAACAGGATGTGCGTGAAGACGAAAACCATATGATTAAACAATTAACCGTGCTGTTAGCATTACAACAGCATTCATTGTAACAAAGTACCTTTAAATAGTTCCTTGAGATCAATGAACAAAAACAATAACCATGCTAATTTATTTATTTTATTTTATTTTTAGAGAGAGGACCCTGATAATTAGCTTACTAATGTAGACTTGGGAGTTCTTTTTTACTGATGCATTTTTGTGGCTGTTCCAGACCAGAAATAAAGCCATATATGGATGCCTAGTTCAACCCATTTGCTGAATGGGTCAGAGCAGTAACTGACAGCACTGCAGCTGAAGCTGAATAGTTTTACATTTAACTGTGGGTGCATCTTCAGTGATACACATGAGCACTGCTTCCATGGGAAGGCAGGCCAGCTAGGATCAAATTGGCAAAAGGGTCTTCCATACAGTCACATGTTTTCTGAATGGCTGTCTGTTAGCCGTGACCCTTTGCAATGGAAGAGAAAACAGATGTTTTATCATGCTGCCAAGTTGTTGGGGCTTTTTCCCCCCCTTACATGTTAGGAACAGTTCTACACACAGGGAGTTTTTGTTAATTAGTTTCAGATGATGACTGGGAGTTTTACACCATGCAGGACCTCCAGTTACTGCTCTTCTATCCAACACCCCACCCCCATCTGCCACCCCTGCCCTGCTCAAGTCAATGCTCACGGCTGGCTGTCCCCATTTCTTAATAAATGCTGAACATAGCTTTATGCTTATTAGATACTTAATCCCTTGAGTGCCTAAGGAAGAATAACATGCATACATACAGAAGAACGCTAACTTAAAATCAGCCTTGTTTTGATATGCTTGAGGAAAAGCAAATAAGTGAATTCAGCAGACTCGAAAGCTTTTAGTTCTAAGTTACCTTTCCCTCCCTTTTTGTTAGCGGAAGCCCAACACAGGAGTTCTTCTTTTGCAAGGACCAGTTTACTTCTTGTATTTATTATTCAATGTGGTGCAGTATAAAACATAATAATAAATGCAATAAAGCAATGCAATCCCTTCAAAACAGAAACATAGCAGCACATTTTGATACACAATCTCAAAAATCTTTACAGAAACAGCAACAGGACAGCAGTATTATAAAATATCATAAAACATCCACCATGCAGTGTGGAAGGTGAAATAAAAGCTGGCATCAATTATCTGGGAATGCTTGTCAAATAAAAAATAAAAAATAGGTAGTTAAAAGGTAACTGTTGACAAACCACTGTTGGTGCCTTTTATATTGCATAAAGTGGGTGCCATCATTGAGAAGCCCACTGCTGAGTTGCTGCCTGAAGTATTTTTTGGACAGGCCGAAAAGCATCCTCTACCTAAATGTGTTGCTGTGTTATTCTTTCTTTCTTTTTACTAGATAGGACCTGCTACAAATTGCTGAGGTGACACATATGCTTTCTGAATAATTTTGTATTGTATATTCAGTTTCATTGTCTCGCCTTTGAGAAGCATGTGCTTCTCGCGAGTCCTTGCTAAATGGATTCTCAGAGCCTGATCGTGCATGGAAGTTGCCCTCACTTTAAATTTGTTACTGCTTTGTATGAACGCCTTGGGGTGTTTGTACTATTCTGATGTCATGTGTTTATTCATAATCTGCATCTTTATATAATGTTAAAATAGAGCCAACGACTTCTTAGTCTTCCCTGTCAAAGAGAGAATGAGATAGTGTATATAAATATGGAAGGCAGCTTCAGGAGGCAGAAAAAGAGCTCCTGATCATACATGCTCTAGTTTATCTCAAGCTCACCCAAACAAGTTTTGTAAAACAAGTTAGAGCCAAATACTCCAGTGCAAACTTACAGATTCCCTTTCTGTCTACAACTGTCCTCGCTAGCTTCAGGGGGTTGGATAGGAGTCCTGAGGTGGATTTCTAGAGGGAAAATTGGCAACAGAAAACCTATGGGCAGAAGGGTCTCCTACTTGCACATCAGAATCTTTGAACCCGAGCCATGGTTTTTTGACCAACTCTGAGCAAAGCCACTTTATTCTGCAGAACTTTTGAAATAGGCCTTGTGATCTGTTGTGGACTTTCATGTGAATCGTCTTAGCTAACTGATTAAAACTGGGACATTTTTTTCAGGGATGCAGGATCCAGCACGGCAAAAGCCCTTCCATTGTGCAGCAAATACATTCTTTTTATCTATTTATTTTCCCATGAATGCAATTCTAGAGACGATAATGGCTTGTGTTGTCAGAAGAAGGAAGAGCTTATTCTGTGAATGGTAGTAACGATGAATAGATGTAATCATACATTTTGGCCACAGCCGTTTCTCTAGTTTCATTGATCTCCTAGGGAAGTCTTGAGACACTGCTATTCAGTGACTTCAAAATTACACATTTAGCTACGACTGCTGTTGGTACCACTTTATTGTGGAGACTTTCACAGCAAAGTAAGTCTCATGGGTACAATTTTATGTACAAAATTTCCAATATTCTTCTGAAAAGTAATATCATTATTTTTATTGCTTTTTTTCAGCAACAAGAGCAGGATCCAACTAATCTATATATTTCCAATTTGCCACTTTCAATGGATGAACAAGAGCTGGAGAATATGCTGAAACCTTTTGGGCAAGTTATCTCTACAAGAATACTTCGTGATTCCAATGGCACAAGTCGTGGGGTTGGCTTTGCAAGGTACGATGGTAGCTGTCTTTTATATCACTTCATGAATAGTATCTTCAGAACAATTATAGTTAAAGTAAAATGGAGGTGCTTAGCAATGGAAAACAGTATCTTACCATGACAAGAAACTCAAAACAAAGATGGTAGGACTGATCATTTAACCAAAATATTAATGGGTCAAATAATATTCAAGGATGCATGGCATGCACCTATGAGTACTGTAATAGAGAATTGTGCAAATGTCAAATATTGGCATTAACAGCTTTTTATTAATGTACCAGCCACAAAAGACAAAAGTGTATGTTTAAAGGTGGGTGTGGTTAAAGAACATAAGATGTTATAGTCTAAATCAGCATGGCAGCTGGGGCTGATGGGAATTATAGTCCAAAACTGCTGAAGGGCACCAGGTTTGGAAAGGCTGGTCTTAGAGGAATGGGTGTGGGGCCTCGACTTTTGAAGAAAAAAGGGCTTTCACACCACCTTTGCTTTAAGGTGCAATTTGAATTTTATTGCTCTCTTGCAGTTAAAAGATGGGACACGACTGACACAAGGGCAATATTGACTTATTAGACAATATTAAACTGCAATCAAACAAGTTGTTAGTTGCCTTCTATTCCAATCCTAATATTGCTGCCTTATTCTTTGCATGTTTTTAATTGGCTCAGTTATTTTAAGGGTTCTTACACAATGAGTACTCAGAAATAATTATCCAGTATTGCCAGTATATTGTAGTCAAGCATTATGGTAAGTTGAATTTGATTAGTAATTACACACAAGAAACCTGTTAAACTAAATAAGGAAAACTGTATTCATACCCAAGACAAGTTGAATTTCCTTTTTAGATAGTTCCAATGTGCAATGAGAAAAACACTGCCATTTGAATGTTTACTTTCAGTCTTTAATAGTGGAACGATGATTGTGGGGGGAGCATAAATCTTGCCCCAAATTTATTTTTTCAAAACACACAATTAAAACATCCTTCTCACACACATACAAAAATGTGCAAGCACTGCATAGAGCTTGTAGGGGGAGCCAGGGAGAGACAGTGAGATAGACAGATATGGACACAGACATAATTCCAAACCATAGGAAGCTTCTTTATAATGAGTCAGATCACTGGTCCATCCATCTCAATATTGACCAATAGCATCTCTCAAGGAGATTTTCCAGCCATAAATTCTGGGAAGTGAACCAGGAACACACTACATTCAAAGCATGTGTTCTACCACTGAGCTATGGCCTCTCTCCCTGGTTTGGCACTACAGGATTCATCTTGGGTTCACCTACTAAGATTCACTGCCTCCCTTTTTGTCAGAAAACTGCAGTTGGCCCACTTTGCATGTTCTGGCAAACAATGGCCAGCAAGCCATGAGGAAAGACATCACAGTGCACAAAGGGATGAAGGGAGTGCACAAGTCATATGTTTATCCACATACTGCCCAAGCCTTGTTTTGTCATTACGACTGGACTGGGCTGGAGGCTTTATCATTGTGACCTAATAAGAAAGCAAAACATGTGCAAGTCAATATTACACAGTTATCTCCTTTTTTTGTCTTTTACACAGGATGGAATCGACAGAAAAATGTGAAGCAGTAATTGCTCATTTTAATGGGAAATTTATTAAAACACCCCCAGGAGTTTCAGGTAGGTCTAAGTATTATTCTGAAAATGTTACAATCTAATGATTCCTGTAACTAGATTATGCAAGCTGCACCTGCATAACACCACCTCTAAAAGGAGGGTGAACTGCACTGCAATAACCCTGTTACATACTGTCTGGAGCCCTGAGGAAGGACACTCTGTGCTGTTCAGGCCCTTGGGGGGTTGAGGAAGAAATTTCAGGAATGCCGAAACATCTCTTCTTTCTTACCTTTCCCTTGAGTCCTTCCCTGTGGGCTAGTAGGCTTGTAGACCCAATACGAATTCACACACCTTTACTTGAACATCCAAATCATCATTCCCAGAATGTATTCATGAGGGCACATGCAACTTGTGAACTGAGCAAGTGAGCATAGTTGGTAGTATTTCTGTGATCACAGCAGCATTTTCTTTACATTATAGAGGTTTGCATATAATAGGAGAAGCTCTGAGAATACTGTAACTCTGACAAGGGAAGGTAGCTCTCTGAATTTGTATTACACAGCTCCAGTCTGCTGCTGAGTATGGGCAGAGAGATTAAGGGTGCTGTTGACTCCAGTGATCCAACTGCTGTGCTTGTAGTCAAGCATTATCCCATTTTCTGTAAAACCATGTGAGCCTGGACACTGAAGACCCTGAATATAGGCCATTGCTACTCTGAGCATTGTAACATTCTGCTGCTTTGCAGGGATTGCTCTGAAGCTTCGGGCACAGGTCCTCCCAACAGCTGTAAATAGTTCTAGATAAGGTGTGCAGAGAGGGGAACAAATAAGGCTTCTATTTTTAATTAGTCCCCTTTTTCCTGTGGCTTTGCGAGTTTGTTCAATAGCGCTGAAGGTGAATGAATCTCAATGAGAAAACCTGATACCGAAATACCAGATGAAGATGATAATTTTAGATCCCCCCTCTTCCTGTCTAAATTAACTTGCGTCTTTCTAGTGCAAAAAAAAATTGCAAGGAAACAAAAAAAAAGGTCCATGAGGCATTCTCCCAATGCAGCTTAATTTATTCACTTGCTGCTGTGAGACTCCCAACCCATCTTATGATGGAAAGCTGTCAGCTCATGATAATTGATTGCACTTCTTACTATGGGCTCTTTTGAAGCCAAGAGTTGACACCCTTTTACTATCAGCCTCTGCCAGGGAGTAGCAGATTATTGCTGGATAGGACTAAATTAATATGACCAGAAAGACAGAAGACAATAACAGAGTGAGAGAGGAAATTTACTATACAATAAATAGTGCTTTTCTTTGACTTTCCGGGGCTAGTAAAATTGTATCCTATAAGAAAGAAGAGACATAGTAGCATGCATGGCAGAATTCAGGTGAAGAAATAAATCAAAGGTAGGGTATTCATATTTATTTATTTTTCTTACATTTATATCCTGTCTTTGTTTCATCATGGAGCCCAAGGCTGCATACATGTGATTCCCTGGTGATTGTTAATTCAGGCAATGGTCATCCTCAGAGCGGCTGAACTTCAGCAAGGTTGTGACCTCATGTACCTTCAGACTATATCCCATGTTTTGGTTCTCTCCCTCTCCCTCTCCCTCTCCCTCTCCCTCTCCCTCTCCCTCTCCCTCTCCCTCTCTCTGGTGTGGGTGGTAGCCACACATTCTTCAAAATGGGATTTCAATGTAGAATTTCCCAGGATGCCCCCGGTGCAAACAAAGAGAAAGATAATATACTTCCTTTTCCCATGTTACTGCAAACACCTGTTGTTTAGGTAACTGGGCTGACTTAGCAACCAGCCACTTTTGAGCAGCCTGACTCTGACCAGCAGAATACACAGTTTGATGGGACAAGGTAAATTAACCTTTGCTGTGCCATACTCCTATCATTACTAAGAAACTCTCAGTTCTCATGTTACAGGAACTAACCTTCAACAGACTCCATAGCAGCTACTGCCTTTAGAGGCCATTTGGGTGGAGCTATACAAATAGCAGCAGACTTAGTGACAAATCTGGGTTGAGGTTAGTATCACTATTAGGAGGGACATGGCTAATTCTTCAAAGCACTGAAGGTACCGAGGATTGAACCTGGGACTTCCGTGCAGGCAAAGCAAATGCTCTACCACTGAACTATAGCACCTTCCCAGATGTTATAGAATTTGCAGCATAATTTTGAATGGTTGGTTATTTGTGGTTGACTTAGCTCTTGCAGGTGATCCCATATGGAGGCCTACGGGATCTCCCTTCTCAGAGCAGGTCGTCAAAGCCATTTTCCACTACACCACATTCCTTTCCTCATAATTACATGTGCATGTGCACACATATGCCTTCAGCTGACCTTGTTATGTTACTGGAGTCACACATAGGTCTTCAGTCATCTGTCTCATTTGACCTTCACTTTGTTTCTTGGCTTTGTGAGAGAGGGCAGGCATTGCTTCACTCCCAAGTTCAGGAGACACACCATTAGCAAAGCTCTTCCCAGGTAAAGGGCGAGTAATAATCTGCAGCATGAGAATGTTTGTAACGCCAAGTTTCACAGAAACTAGGGTAAATTGGCAAATTTCAGTTGGATGGGGGAAATGGCGTAATGGACGGAGAATCCAGAAGATGGCAATGGAATAGGTGTGGGAGGAGGAGGAACATCTGTTTAAGAAAAGCATGCTGTCATAGTGCAGCTTAGCTAAAATAACAAGAGTTTGGAACTGAAAATGGAATAGCTAAATAGTTTTATAAGAAAGGAGGTCGGGCCTCCTGGATAGTGTGAAGCAGATCAGGAAATTCTTGTGCAAACAGACTCAAGTAGACTAGACCAGCTGGTAAAAAAATACATGCATACTTAGTTTTAGTAGGTTTTTTTGTAAATTTGTATGTGGAAACACTACGTTAAAACTTCAGAGCGCACAAACAGATCGACTCTGAAGATTACACTTCCTGCCATAGTCTCAGGCACAGCCTGTGGTAGCTACAAGGTAACATTAAAGCAGCCTTCCACTACCTGGTGCTCTCCGGATGTTTTGGATTACATCCTGTTTCCTTCAGAGGCCAACCAGATGCCTAAGGGAAGTCTGCAAGCATTGGAGCCCAACAGCTCTCTCCTGCTATTCTTCCCCCATCAGTCATCACTCACCACCAGATCAGACATCATCCATGTATATGTGGAGCTAGGATATTTTTGCCTCAATCTTTCCCCCCCCAACTTGACTATCAGCCATTGCATTATCCTCCATTAACTCATGGTAGCAAATTCCATAGTTTTAACTGTGTGCTGTGTGAAGAAGCACTTGATTTTTTCCATCTTGAATATCCCAACTGTCATCTTCATTAGATGACTCTGGGGCCTAATACTATATGAGTGGGAGAAAAATGTAGCTCATACCTACTTTCTCCATAGTGTACATGATTTTTTTAAATGTCTGTATCATTTCCCACTTTACTCACTCCCCTGCCTCTCCCAAAAAAGATATTGTAACTTTTCCTCATAGTGGGACTAGCCCAGTTGCAGCCATTTTGGTTTTCCGTTTTCTGCACTTTTCCCAGGTCTACAATATCCTTTCTGATCCAAATTGTACACCGTATTCCAAGTGAAGTTATACCATAGATTTGAATAAAGACATTACGATAGTGGCAAATTTTATTTTTCGATGCCTTTCAAATGATCCCTAACATAGAATTAGCATTTTTCATAACTGCCACACTGGTTTGACATTTTCATTGAACAATTAATTCATCACAATCAATGTTAGAAATGTGACTAACAAATATAATAAATAAGAACAACCTCATCCCTGTCCTGATCATTCACCACCATCCCAGGCCCCATCAATGTGGGGCTAGTAAAATTTTTGCTTCAGTGCTCACCATCTTGCACTTACCTATCTTGAATCGCATTTGCCATTTTAATGCCCATTCACTCAGGACATTCACTTTTGGAACCGCTTGCAATCCCTTTTTTGCAATCTCTTTCTGGTTTTAAGCACCCTGAATAATTCTGTGTCATATGCAGACTTGTCTGCCTCACTGCTTATGTGGATCATTTATGAACAAGTGTAAAGGCACTGGTCCTAATACAGGTCCTTGCGGGGAAATTCCTTCCACTGTGAGAAAAGTCAGTCCATAAAGGGCTTGTCCTCTTAGCCTGTGACTGCTAATTTTACTCAGGCACCTTTAGTGGGGAATGTCATCAAATATTTGTTTGAAAGCCCAAGTGTACATTGCTGATTCAGTCCAAAACAGCACATAAGAATGTGAGTTACCATTTTAAGTGCAACCCACAATGCTGTCAAAACCACAGCAGGAGGGGAATTGCCACAACACCTTGGAACATTCAAGCTGATTGTTTGATTCTGTGCCACTCATCCATGATCTCAGTTTTGTTTTTAATCACTCTGACATACACAATTCTAACATGGGTTGTATATTTTGTGAAACAGCACATTTCTGTAGGCATCTTTGTCTGTCTAGGATGTTACCTAACTGTAGATTTGTGAGGAAGGAAATTATTAGCAAAAAGTGTGACAAGCCAAGACTACAACAGCATTTCCACTCAGTGATTAGGGATAACAAGGAAAAAGAGAGAAGGACTCTATTTCAGCCAGATGCAGGTGGTGCATTTAGGTAATGGGGTATGACTGAGACAAGCATTGCCATTCCTGAAATTGTGCTGTGTTAAACTTCAAAAACAGAACAAGAACTATAATGAAGGACATGAGCGCTTGACTTGGAGCTTGGAAACTGGGTTATTGCATTTAACCAGCTTGCTTAGTAAACTCAATTCTTCAGCCTGGGTTTCATGTCTGTAAAATAGGAATAATACTTGCGTGGGTTACCTGCATATGTTATCAGATTAAGTAAAAGCCACCTGCTAGCTCATCATGCAATATGATACTTGTATAGAACAAGACAGAAAACGCTGAAAGTCACCTTTCTGGCTTGCACAGTGGAAAGAGTTAAAAAAGCACTCAAACTGGAAAGAGTTAAAAAAGCACTCAACCCTTTTGCAGCATCTTTGTATCTATGCCCTTAACCATTAGTTGCATGGTTGTCAGAAGTAATTTACTCTCTCAGAGAACCCTTTTCTGTAGAAATCTGTGGTACTGGAACAATACGTAAGTAAAGGGATGCTGTTGAAACACTCAAAGGGTGTTTTCATTTAACGAAAGGACCAGACATGGAAACCATAGAAATGAATTCAAGTGGCTTCTGCTCATAACTTGCCACTTTTTCTTTTGAATGCAGAGCTCAGAGTTAGCCTTCCAAGATTCTGCTGGCTCCGGAAGCATGCCAGAACATATATTGTGTGTCCTGAGAGCAATTTATAGTGTCCTCATTTAAAAATTTATATAAGTAATCCAACCAGAGCACCTACGTAAATAATGTTCAGTGAATACCTGTATCTAACTAGTTTCTTTCATGTGTTGCATAAAGTAGCACAATAAACATGTAGCTTTTTTTGATGGCCATTTTGTGCCAATCCTAGGTCTTCCCACACAGGTTTAAATGTCGTTTAAGTCATTTAAGTGACTGACCTCAGCCCTAAAGCTGTTTGTTTGGAAGTAAACCCCATTGGTTTCATTAGGGCCATTGCACACATGCACCTCAATCACTTAAGTGCATGAGTGAATAAGCCAAAGTAGACTTTTGTCTCAGATACAGTATTTTTGGATGAAGTTGAGTTGGACTAGCTGCTAGCAATGAAGTGACAGAGCACGTAGGTGTGACTTCGTATATAGCACATCTGTAACCAGAAACTTATAATGAGGGGAGAATTCTCTGTAAACCAGGGGTTGGCAAACTACGTCTCTGGGCCAGATCAGGCCCACCCGGCCATTTAAGAACCCACCACCCGCCGCAAAGCCGAGACTCTCGGCGATCGCAGCAGGAGGAAGAGGCCAAGCAGTGGTGGCTCTGGCACTCAAACGCCGTGCCTGGTTTACCTCAGTGGCTTTTGCTTGCTTACTTACCCCGATATCATTAATATTGTTATTAGTATCTGTATTGTTTTGTGCCCCCAGAAGCTGAGTGCGCGTGGGGAGTTAGATGGTGGAAGGACAAAAATCCTCTTTCCTCTCTTTCTCTCTGCTTTCCCACCAGCCTTTCCCCTCTTGTTCTCCCTCTAAGTCAGGCCATTGGGGAAATAGTAGTAATAATAATAATAATAATCTTCCTCCCATCGCCATCGCCGCCACCGCCCTAGTGCTCCTGTGGGCCAGAGACCAGAGTGGATGAGCTCACTCTGCCTACCCACCTCACGAAAAGCGGTGGTGGCGGCGGCAGCTCTTTCTCTAGGTGGGGAGGAAGCCTGTTTCATGCCACCGCTGCCAACCCTTTGGCAAATGAGGCAGGCGGCAAACCGGGAAGGTGGCTAGGGCTGGGGGGGGAGGACTACTTGCCCCCCTTGCCTCTTCTTCCAGCTCCACCCCCCTGGTGCTGCTTCCCCAGAGCCGCCATCTCTCCTTCGCCTCGGCTGTTCTCTGCATATTGAACTTGCCTCCCTTCTCTCTGTGGGGCGATTGTGGGTCTGTGTGTGTGTATGTTTTGGGGGGTGGCGGGAGGATGAGCAGCATGGTAGTGGGTGAGCTTGTCTGTTGAGGAGCCTTCCCCACCCTGCTTTAATGCACACTATTTTATTTTATTACACCTGCCCTTCCCCCACCCCATTCTTCCCAGTGTGCATAGGAATTCATTCATTATTATTTTTTCCAAAATATAGTCCAGCCCCCCACAAGGTCCAAGGGACAGTAGACTGGCCGAGTGCTGGAAAAGTTTGCTGACCCCTAGTGTAAACCATTTGTCAGATTATTTTTTTGATCATAATATCAAAACAGATTCCACGCTGCAGACCCTTCAGTCTAGTGCTCATTGTGCTCTGATGCATCGGTGGAGCTCCTAAAGAAATCAGGCTTTCCAAATTACATCAGTTAATGCAGCAGCTCTATGTATCCATCCTTTTTCAGCTATGGCCCTTTGTTGAAATAATGAAGAAATGTCACATGTAGGTGTGTTGGAGTGCTTGTATCTACTAAAACATAGCAAATCTTTGCAATCAGGATGTTTGGGAATGCATGAAAACACTGGGCACTAAGCATGTATGTTGAAGCTGAATGTTACAGCTTCCAAGCAAAATAATTTGGGGGAAACCTACTATGTAACATCTTTCCACAAGTGACAACTTTTGAAATGCACTTTATTTTGATATCACAAAGGTTATTATGTAGACTATTCCTAAATGGTTTGTTTTGTTGTTGTTTTAGCTCCTGCAGAACCTTTGTTGTGCAAGTTTGCAGATGGAGGACAAAAAAAGAGACAGAATCAGAACAAATATATACAGAATGGAAGAGCGTGGCACCGAGAAGGCGAGGTGAGACTTGTAAGTCCTCCTCTCAACCTTTAGTTAGTGTGTGTGTGTGTGTCTATGGATGTGCATTAAAAAAATAATAGTCACAAAGAGATGTGCTGCCTTGGTGTCCTCTTGCATTGTTCAATGGAATATTACAATCCTTCATTCCGCTTCGTTACTTGACATATTTAAATGCATTGTTTAAAATATTGGGCCATATTCAACCAACTTATTGTGTTAGCGGAAACCAGTGCTAGGGTTCCCATGAGTGCAATGGGAATTCCCACCAGCAGTACTTCTCCCCCTACACACCCTCCCTGAATCTGTTCTTGAGGGACTGGAAAACTACCAGAACAGTGCACTATAGGAAGGGAGGGGAGATAATTCCATGAACACACACATTTCTATCTCCTTAGTCCTATGTTGAGTACAACCCATTGTAATTATATGAATGCAACCCATTGTAAATATTTTATATGAATGTATTTTCTTTTGCTGTGTGTGTGTGTTTAAGGCTGACTTTTCTTAAATAATACATAGTAGCTCACAAACAAACTCAATAAAAACACTAGCAAAGTCAGTAGATAAATAGTCAACTATCTATAACCAAATCAGCATGATATAATTAATCAGGGGAAATCCAGAGAAGCAGAAAATCGTCTGCTTTAGAAAAGCAAGATTCACTGACCCAATAGTCTTTATTTTTAAAGCCAGCTTTTAGCCTGGTGTCTGAAGGCAAATAACACTGGAGCCAGTTGGGCGTCCCAATAAAATGGCTGCAAATACTGCCCCACTGCTAGTACATCACTCTAGAACAGCCTTTCTCAACCTGTGGGTCCCCAGATGTTGTTGAACTACAACTCCCATCACCCCTACCTAGCAAGGCTAGAGCTCAGGGATGATGGGAGTTGTAGTCCAACAACATCTGGGGACCCACAGGTTGACAACCACTGCTCTAGAACTTACTGCACATAATTTAACATCTCAGCTATGTTCCTGCACACTGTTTCACATGCATGTAAGCTGGGCCTTTTTGAGTTTTCATCAAGGCAGATCTTACCAACAGCTTCTCAAAAGAGATGGTACTTTCTTTATTTAAGGTATTTATAAGCCGCTTAATTACAAAAGTTTCTTAGTGGTGCACATAAAAATAATAAAAAATTATACAGTGGATACACACATGGGTCCAATGGTACTTTGGTGTATAATTGCAGAGCGGCCATTGCAACGTAATAGAAGCAAAACTGTCCTGGTGTTGTAGGGAATGAGGAAGCCCTTGTGTATTCAGAAGCTCCATGTCCTTGCAAGAAGCTTCTGGATTGGGTCCATAATCTTTTAATGCATAAGGGAGATCCAAAACAGGTTACTTACTGCATATCACTTGTGCCAACAAAATTTCACAAAACATAAGGCAGTACTGGCAACTTTGACTATTTCAGACAGATGGGCTAGTGCTAATGTTTTGGTTTGGAGTGGTAGCCAATCTTTTCATTGAGTATATGTTTTATCCCTTCCCTAAAGGCTGGAATGACACTTACGTATGATCCAACTACAGCTGCTTTACAAAATGGGTATGTACAATCAGACAATAAATATAAGTTATTCCATGGTACCCTTTTAAAGGTATTAATAAAGGTGTTTGTGCTTTTAGATTTTATCATTCGCCATACAGTATTGCAACAAACAGAATGATCACTCAGACGTCTATCACGCCATATATTGCTTCTCCAGTTTCTGCATACCAGGTCTGTATTTCAAGATGGAAGGATAAGCTATTAAAATACTTGGTAGGAATTTGTGTAGAGCTCACATGAAGGCTTTGTGGAATGCAATACCTTACCATTTTTGTCATTCTATGTATAAAACAGCCGGAGACAGAAAGGGAAACACAAGAAACTTGCTTTTGAAGTATTCTTGGTTTCCTGTAGAACAGAAATCAGTGTGTGGAGTATGATGAAATAGAAGCTTGTCTGCTTAATTTTACTGCTAAGGCAGATGTCATTGTGTTTTTTTCAGTGAGGAGATGAGTAATGGCAAGACAAGCTTCTGTGAAAGAGAGCTTGCTTACCACTTTCAAACATATCCTGCAAGTGCACAGTAAACTCCCCCCAAAACCTGGTTCAGGTCAGCAGTTTCAAATACACACTGCCTGGAGGTGCAGGGACACTCTGAAGAGCTAAAGCGAAAGACCTCAGCCAGTCTCAATGGGGAGAGATGGATGGTTGCAAGGAAGCAAATGTCCTGCTGTTTGCTTTCCTTTGACTCAGCTCAGTACCCCACACATAGAGGATTTGGCAATGAAGGGGGAGAGAGAGCTTGTGTTCATTCCCTGATGCCAAGACAAGTTGCTACAGTGGCTCAGAGTCGATGAGGGTGGTGAGCAAGCTCCCCTTCTAGCCCCAAACTCTTCACAGGCGGTTTCTGTGGAGGTCTGACCCTACATCCCATGTGTTCTCAGGACACTTTACCAGCCTCTCCAGGATTTATAGGCCACCAGATTAGGAGAAATGGGTGGGAAGTGGTAAGGGGAATCCTGCTACTCCATTTACTCTCAACCTCTCTTGAGTCCCTTTGTGAGTCTCTTTCTTTCTCTTTCTAAAGACACTGAGCATGGGAAAGAGGCATGGTTTGGGAAGTGGGGTTGAACTGCTGTGGGTGAAGGTTGTACATGCACACTTCCCCTCATGCTTCCAGGAAATATCTCTGGTAGCAAAGGTCAAAGTTGTGTGTGTTAACACTTGGCCCATTAGAAGAGGAAACTGTTCTGGTTTCAGGGAAGAGAGCTTTGTTCAGCCAACACAAGATCCTGCGGCTCTCCTCAGGGTTAGGATAGGCTGAATGCTGGGCTGGTCACAAGGAGAACAGTAAACCCCCCTGCCCTCACTGGAGCTTCCATACAGAGAAGGGACTCTGGGGACATCTGCACCACATCTCATTTGGGTATGTTAGCCACTTCCCCAGAATTCTCCTGCCTGCAAGTTCCCAAAAGCAACCGAAAAGGAGGGTTCAAGAGAACATGCAGTGAAAAGTGATGGGTGAGATCAAAGAACAGAGCCTCCATCCCTCTGCCTCTCCACTTCTCCACTAACCTCCCCAGAGCTAGGTACAGGAGGGAGTGGTAGAAGGATGCATCACAACTCTCCTCTTACTTCAGGTCCTCAGTTTGATTTTTTTTTAAAGGCAAATTTTACTTACACTTGGTTTTCCAGTCAGTCTCTAAACCTACCAAACTGCCAACTCAGTATGTTGTTCTAATTCTAATCAGTACTTATTGGAAAAGGAAAGCAGCATTTAAACACTCTTGTTTAGTTATCCAAACAAAGAAGGATCTAGGGCTGCAGTTGTATGTTGTGGAATAGCTTCTTCTCCATTACCCCGCCTCCCAATTTCCAGCTGTTCCTTATCAGACCTAAGGAACAATTTCCCCTAGTTTCTTGAATCTCTACTTTTCCCAACTAGCTATTACTTTTACAGAAGATTTCCCCCTCCCTTCAAAAATAAAAGCAGAATAGCTGCTGAGCATATTTATGAGAATCTTCTGCAGTTAACCTGCCATCGCAGTTGGGCATTCTACCAGGGCTCAAGCCATCTCTGATAATGCAAATCTCAGTCAGTTGGAGAGAGAGGAAACAGATGTTACCACTTAGCAGAACCACTCCCTCTCCATGCTCTGAGAAAAGCACACAGAGAAGATCACATCCTGTACTCTGGCTGTCTTTGTGATGTCGGAACAGGATTGTCTGTGTTCGGCTTGCTGCATGCTGAGTAAAAGTGAATATTGAACTGATCATACTTTTCATTCCAGTTCTTCCTAAGAGTGAACTTGAGGAACTGGAGATTTCTCTCTTTACTCTCTGTGCCATACTACCACCATCTCAGAACTTCTGTTGAAATTGTCTGTGCATAATATTTTTTTTTGGGGGGGTGCACTTAATAAGAGAAAGGAGAAGGCTGTGATTTAATTCAGGCTTTTCCCATTCTTGTGCTTCAAAAAGGGTTATTGCAATTCTTAGCACTTGTAGGCAGCAATGAAAGCCAGAACAATGAGTTAAGAGCCTGGAGGGAGGCGGGCGAGTCCAAAAAAGGTTGGGAAACACTGACTTAAGTTTCTCTTTCAAAAAGGAAACGTGGGTTAAAGCGGCGGCGACGCCCCCTACTCACTTTCCTGCTCTGGCTTCCCTAACAGTTTTCTGAGTTGCATCACTGGATCCACCCCCCTTTTCCACAGGTGACACGGGGCTGGAGGGAGGGAAAGAGGGCTTAACGTCGCGCACAAAGGCAGCCTCCTAGAAGCGCTCTGGGCCGGCGCCGTTTCGCCGAAGGCGCCGGAGGACCCCCACCCTCAGCTCCTTCAGAAAGGAAGCCCCGCCCCTCGGCTCCCTACGAGGCCAGCCGCTGCACGCACGCACCGGCTCGTCATCGGCTCCGTCTGTTTCCAACCCCCCTGCTTGCCTTCGCGCGAGCTCAGTCGGGTCCCTCAGCCAAAGAAGCGGAGCCTCTCGGCATGTCCGGGCAGCAGCAGCAACAACAGCAGCAGCAACTCCCGGCGACGGCTCCTCAAGCCCCGGGCAACCCTACTCCCTCACTGGCCTCGGCCGCCCTCCTGCTCCACCCGCCGCCGCCTCCCCCGCCGCCCCCGGCCACCTCGGCCCCGCCGCCGCCCCCTCCTCCGCCCGCTATCGCCGCCACCACCACAACAGCCGCCGCCCCCTCAGCTGGGCCCATGCCTGCCGGGAGCGGCGGCGGCAGCAGCAGCAGCAGTGCCCCGGCGCCCTTCCCTCACGGCGGCGACCCGGCCCTGAACGAGCAGGAGAAGGAGCTCAAGCTCAATGTCCGGGCAGCAGCAGCAACAACAGCAGCAGCAACTCCCGGCGACGGCTCCTCAAGCCCCGGGCAACCCTACTCCCTCACTGGCCTCGGCCGCCCTCCTGCTCCACCCGCCGCCGCCTCCCCCGCCGCCCCCGGCCACCTCGGCCCCGCCGCCGCCCCCTCCTCCACCCGCTATCGCCGCCACCACCACAACAGCCGCCGCCCCCTCAGCTGGGCCCATGCCTGCCGGGAGCGGCGGCGGCAGCAGCAGTGCCCCGGCGCCCTTCCTCACGGCGGCGACCCGGCCCTGAACGAGCAGGAGAAGGAGCTCAAGCGGCGCCTCAAGCGGCTCTACCCGGCCGTGGACGAGCAGGAGACGCCGCTGCCGCGCTCCTGGAGCCCGAAGGACAAATTCAGCTACATCGGCCTCTCGCAGAACAACCTGCGCGTCCACTACAAAGGTAGAGGGACGGAGGGAGGGCGAGGCCGAGGCCACCGCCATCCCCAGGCCCCCTCCGCCTCTTCCTCCGAAAGGCAGGCTGAGAAACTCCCAGGGAAGCTCTGAACGTCTCCCCCGAAACCGTCGGGAGGCTTCGGTTGTTGCCTTTCTCCGCCGAGGTTGGTGGACCCCGAGCCTAGGCTTCCTTCCCGCACCCCGCTTTCCGAAGACCGCACACCAGTTGGGCCAGTACATATTCCCCTCCCGTGACTGGAGCGGAATAGCCCTTTCTCTTCTTCCCCAACCCTTGTCGTTGGAGGAGTCCTACAGTCCTCGCTTTGCTGCCTCCCTCCCCCCACCCCCAAGCCTTGGGAGGTCCCCGGCAGGGGGAGGGGAGAAAAATTGAAACTTACCACTTTCGTCGCGTCCCTTTCCGGCGTGACGCTGCGCACTGACGTCACGGGGCTGTAATGGTGGTGTGCCTCGAATTTTTTTTCATCAAACAAGTGTGCCTTTGGCCCAAAAAAGGTTGGAAACACTGAGTTAGAGATGAAAGCATGATGCTTTTGAAATGTGTGTAATATATACATTAAAGTTGTGAATATTGTTTTCTTACAAAACATAAACCTTTTCATTATCTACAGAGGCCCTATCATGGATGCAGCCTCAACCATATATAATGCAGCATCCTGTAATTTGGCATACTTTCACCTATGTCAGCTTAGGATCAATATTCTTATTTGTTCCTCATTTCATTAGTTATTTCGTTCTCTGGGTGGGCGCTATTTCTTAATGCCCACACTAAATAATATCCAACTGGTATGGCTTTCTGCAGCCCAGTAATAGATAGCCTAGCCTTATGCCAAGTCTTCCTAGCGTGAACAGTAGAATCTTGATGGGTGGCTATTGAATTGATTCTGGCAACATCCAATGGAATGAAGTAATAACTGGGAGTAGTAGAGGGGGGAGAGGGAAAGCTGTGCAATGGGGGCCAGGAACCTGTGGCTCTGCAGATATTGTGGATGACAACTTCCATCATTTCTGACCATTGGCTGTGTTGGTTGGGGCTCATGGAAGTTAGAAGTCAAATTTTGATTAAAAGACAGAGGTAAGGAAGAGGTTAATGTAAACAAAAAGCTGCTTGGTCCTTCTAGTATTGTCTACACTGACTAGCAATGGCTCTCCAGGTCAGGGTCTCTCCCAGTCCTTCCTGGAGATCCAACCTTCGACTTCTGGCATGTAAAGCAATTGCTCTACTAGTAAGTGACAGCCCTTCCCCAGGTAAAAGAGCCAAGGTAATTAAGAGTTTCTTGTTGAAGAAGCATATGCACACACCTGTACAGAGCAGGGGAGGAACAAAGCTCCATTAACATATAAATATCGCACAGACTATACATGCCTCTTAATCTCCTACATTGTACTGCTGCATGGCAGATGCAAAAGAGAATCGTATTCATACAGCAATGACAATACACATAAAGGTTTCTTGTGTTAATGTATGCAGTGTCACGGCTTGCAAACAATAGCACTTTAGAATCTAGCATAGACAAAGTATTGGTGTTGATCTCCGTACAGCTATCAAAATCCGAATCATCTTTGATTATGCCTTTTCTACATATGAAAGCAAATGCAATTGTCTTGGACACTTAGATTCTCTTGATACTTCCTATTAGAATAATTAGAATAGCTGGATTCGTCTCTCACAAGTGCAATGATAGCACTTAACAAATGTTCCAAAATAATAAACAATATGCAAATCGAAAGCAAAGCAGTTAAAGACAAGGCACTGAGATTGCTGGGCTATTATGCTGCATCATGTAAGCCTCCCACAGATGTATAGTTCTGACACACAAAAGCTCCCTGTCTGTGGTCTCTAAAGGTTAGGGTTTGACTTTTTCTATGCGCACATTTTTGACACTGATTTTACTTTAAAGAACCTTGCAACCTATGGGGCAGTGATACCCCCCCATATGTGTGGAACACAGTGCTTGTGTTTTAATTCCTTACCCCAGTACAGTCCGCAGTTCTCAAATGACTTGGTCAGAAAAAAATCCTGTTGGCAGAACATAAAGAGTCCTGCCAGATTAGACCAAAGGTCCATCTAGTTCAGCATCTTGTTTCTCACACTGGCCAGCCAGATGCTTCAGGGAAGCACGTAGGCAGGAAGGACATGGAGGTCATAGTTCTTCATTCCCTTACACTTTGAGAGCTGCTCCAGATTAAGGTGGTTGGGGGTACTTTAAGTTGGGTACTTAAAGAAAAGCAAGTTTAAGCCATGGATAACAATCGCCATGCATGTTTTGGGTTGCCTGCAGTCTATCACTGGCTGCTGAATTTTTCACAGGTAAAATGCCAATAGAGGTGTGATTGCAACTGATTTTCTCAATACCAGTTAAAATCCATGCCCATACTTGGAACGTAGTAGGCTGAATCCAGCATTACAAAAGTAGGGGACGGGCTTTCCTGCTCCTTACCCACTGCAGAACACACGCAACACATCAACCACCTGCAAACCTCTCCTGAGTGTCAGAGGAGCCACACTGAATACTTGGAATGTGCCAGGAGAAATTGCTGGTAATTAGGCAAAGCAGCTTGTGCAGTCAGATATCTGCTTCGGTGAAACTGGGCAGAGCCCATATTCTTCTGTATAGTGCCCAGTATAACATTAATTTCCTTTAAAGTCCTAGCTGGGAATAACTTTGATAGCTGATTCCAAAATTCATCCAGTTTAATATAAAAGACTGACTTTGTTAGCATTGCATTCCAAACACATAGTCTTAACGCAAAACCTTTTGTCTTGAGATATAAACAAGCAGGGAAGTGAGAATATTTCAAGGACTGCGGGGAGGGGGAAGAATCCCAATGAGATGCAACTGCAAACCATGGAATTTTATACAGGATAATGAAGCTCCTGGTGATAGATTGGATCCCAATTAGCTTTGCTAGTTTCGTTTCCCCCCATTCATTTCAGTAGGGGAACCCCTGATAACTAGAATCTCTAGGCATTGAGAGGGTTAGACTGACATCACTGTAAGACGTTATCCCATGAATGAACTGTATTTTCATAAGGGAGCTGTAGTTCAGAGTAGAATTTTTTCTGCTACAAATCACATGGGTTCTTGGCGAAAAACGCAAACTAGAGTGACTCATAGGTGCAGGATTTCATGTATACCCTCAAGTCTTTTCTGACCCATAGATGGATCTTACTATTACTGTATTTGTCACATCACCATGTTTTGCTATCAGTGAAGTGTTTCAATTGCATGCACCTTTACAAAAGAAAAATTGAACATGTGTCAGTAAAACGTAAACCAACAGAAGCTGTGTACAACTTTACTGCTTTAATCTGAAACAATTTCCCCCCACTCTTACAGGGTACTGTATTAACTCCTTCCATGGACCACACCATGTCACTGCAGCCTGCATCAATGATAAGTCCACTGACACAGCAGATGAGTCACCTTTCATTGGGCAGCACTGGAACAGTACGTGGCAGTTCTAATAATAATAATAATAACACCCAGAAAAAAACTGACATATTTACTATATATTCTGCCCGTAGGAAAGACATTTAGAGTATTCCATCTGTCACATTTTGTTTTCACTGACCAGTAATTGCATGTGCATTATAAATCCATTTTCTATTGCAATGCATCTTAGTCACTTGGGGAAATTTTACTTTTAATATTAAAGAGGTAAAACCTGGCTACCATTGACAGCTTTGAGCAGTGTAAGGCTGAATCTTGCCAATCTTCCTTTATCTATCAGAATAGAGGGGATGGGGGGTGGCTTGGACGGGGTTCTCCACCAAAATGTGTTATCTGAACTGTCAATGCTGATAACACTGCTATGGATGTATGTTTTTGGATCGCAGCATAAATCATCCTGTCACCTCCTTGTCCCTAGGCTGGGGATAAGAATTGGCATTGCCAAATGGACCCTCTGTCCTAAAGGGAAGATGTATTGCCAGTGTCTTTAGAAATATCACTCTTAGCAGCAATTTTGAGAAGACCCAATTCCTTTTCTTCTTACATCCTAAAGCAAAAACAAAACCCAGTGCTGTTGGGCTTTCTATGTGTTTTGAATTATTTGGGTGGTATCCAAAGACACGCTAATGCATGTGGAGGGCATGCATCATTGAAGGGCTGCGCTGCATTGTTTTATGATGGAATGCTGCATAAGAAAGGTGAAATTCAAAGATGGTCTTTTCTGTGCAACCTCATGTAAAGGAAGTGTTGTGCAACTTGTTTATTAGATCACACTTTTGAAAGCATTTGTGGAACACTACCAGTGGCTTAGGGACGTGGGTGGCGCTGTGGGTTAAACCACAGAACCTAGGACTTGCCGATCAGAAGGTCAGCGGTTCGAATCCCCGTGACAGGGTGAGCTCCTGTTGCTCGGTCCCTGCTCCTGCCAACCTAGCAGTTCGAAAGCACGTCAAAGTGCAAGTAGATAAATAGGTACCGCTCTGGTAGGAAGGTAAACGGCGTTACCGTGCACTGCTCTGGTTCGCCAGAAGCGGCTTAGTCATGCTGGCTGTACCCCGAAGCTGTCTGCGGACAAACGCCGGCTCCCTCGGCCAATAAAGCAAGATGAGCACCGCAGCCCCAGAGTCGGTCACGACTGGACCTAATGGTCAGGGGTAAGGTAAAGGTACCCCTGCCCGTACGGGCCAGTCTTGACAGACTCTAGGGTTGTGCACCCATCTCACTCTATAAGCCGGGGGCCAGCGCTGTCCGCAGACACTTCCGGGTCACGTGGCCAGCGTGACATCGTTGCTCTGGCTAGCCAGGGCCGCACACGGAACGCCGTTTACCTTCCCGCTAGAAAGCGGTCCCTATTTATCTACTTGCACCCGGGGGTGCTTTCGAACTGCTAGGTTGGCAGGCGCTGGGACCTAGCAGCAGGAGCGCACCCCGCCGCGGGGATTCGAACCGCCGACCTTTTGATCGGCAAGCCCTAGGCGCTGAGGCTTTTACCCACAGCGCCACCCGCGTCCCATGGTCAGGGGTACCTTTACCTTTAACTTTACCTTTACTAGTGGCTTATCTCCCTTCCTTTCACATTTGTTTTGGGTCGAACCATCTGTTGTGTGTATTAGTTTCATTTAGCTGAATACACTAATCTCTTTTTCCTTTGCAGTACATGCCTGCCACAACAGCTATGCAAGGAGCCTACATACCCCAGTACACACACGTTCAGACAGCAGCTGTTCCAGTTGAGGTAGTTTTTCTTTTTAATTAATGGGAGAGCCTTTTAGTTAAAATCCATTATTTACATCATACATAATGTTTCAAAAAATGTAACTTGCTGAAATGACATCAGTGCTGCAATAAGCAAAAGATGTCATTGGTATGAATCCTGCATCTGCCCCCCCCCTCCCCGAGTGCTCTTCAGGAAGGGATATAAACTATGGAAGATGCACAGGCAGTCAATGATAAAACTCAAGACAAATTTACCCTTTGTAATACCACAGCTAATAATTAGATGCTGTGTGTCTCCTGCTTACAATCTCTTCTCTCACAGGAAGCCAGTGGTCAACAGCAAGTTACAGTAGAGACGTCCAGTGATCATTCGCCATATACTTATCAGCAAAACAAGTAATCGTGAGGTAAAGTTGCTTTCATGTTTCTTTGAAAAAAATAATTGGAGGGAAAACACTCTTCATGTAGTATATTCAGACACTTCCAATCATTTTCTGGAGCCTTTCTGATGTTCACTTAGTGATGCAACAAACTGAGAAGCTGCATGCATGTTCCTTAGATGCCATACACTTGGTACATTGAACATCTTCAAAATATCTGTGACTTACCAAAGTTGGCTTGTATGAACTATCAGTTTGTCAAACGTATTATAAAAGTGACTTAACAACTCCATATAAAGCGATTTACCAAGTTCTCTGTTTATGGTTGTTGCAGCAAATTGTTTAGGGCACTGAGCTACTGGATCTATAATTTTCATTGGCCCATTGACCCATCCCCATATACATGTGTGGCAGCTGTTCCAAATAGTGCCATATTACTATATTTGATTTAACAGCTTTACCTGGAATCATTAAATCATTTTTAAAATAAGCTTTTAGATAAAGGCACTACCTAAATATCATACATTTGTTATTCAAATAATAATTTTATTACTTGTACCCTACCCATCTGACTGGATTGCCCCAGCCACTCTGGGCGGATTCATTGCTTCATACATGAGATACTTCATTGCTAATTGAAGATGGCAGCAATACTTTAATGAATTAGTGGCAGAGAAGCACAATCCTATAGGAAAGTCTGTGCCTGTGAATAGGAGGACAACAAAGTAGGTGCCAGGCAGATCTCTCTAGGGAGGCCAGAGAGCACCACCACAGAGAAGGCTGCTGACCTTGCCTCACAAGGCAAGAGAACCTGCAGAGCATCTCAGCTGTAGCTACAGGCATGCACATATGGAAACAAGTGGCCCTTGAAGTATCCTCATCCTAAGTCACAAAGGACTTTTAAAGGTCAAAATCAGTTCTTTGAATTGGACCTGGAAATGGATGGGAACCACTGCAACTGGCGTGGTGTCAGTGTAACATGATCCTAATGCCCACTGTCACTTAGTTCAGATTGCAGTTGTCAGATAACTAACATCAATATTCAATGTATCTTCAACACATTTGAGTATTGACACTGAGGAACTTGAGTCCTTTTGAAAACCTTATCTTACTGTAACTTGGTCATGAATCTGCCCCACAACAACATCCTCTGCCCTGCACATGAGACCTATTTGAAGGATCCAGCCTACATTTGTGATTGTAAGTTGTTTTTAAAAGCTTGTAATGTGTTTTAAATTGTTGTAATGCACCCTGGAATCTTAGGGTGAAGTGGAGGTAAAAAATTAAGTGGATGATATTGATGTGGAAAAGTATGTGTCCTTCCTCTATGCTCAGATCAGTATAGCTTCTCCATTCTATATGCTTAATGCAGTCCCAGGAACCAGAAGTACAAACCCTTTGGCCAAAGTAACCACATGCAGAAATCTGCCTGTACATACACAGGCACAAAGAATATGTAGTTATCTGCTTTTTTCTATTTCTAGACTCACAGAGTCAGGTCACACAGGCTATAAATGCTATGAATCAGAAGAGTACAACTAAATTCTACTTTTACTTTTTCTCTCTCTTTCAGAAATGTGTTGTTGACCTCGCCTGGAGAAGGATGCAAAGGCTGAAACAATCATGGATTTTACTGATCAATTGTGCTTTAGAAATTATTGACAGTTTTGCACAGGTTCTTGAAAACGTTATTTATAATGAAATCAACTGAAACTATTTTTGCTATAAGTTCTATAAGGTGCATAAAGAAAAAGAAAAAAAAATCCTTAAATTCATCCTAGTAGCTGTTTCCTTCCCCCTCCCCCCTTGAACAGGTTTATTTTAGTAAGAAATTTTTTATCAAGTATTAACGACGCAAAAAAAAATAAAATAAAGGTAAATAATTAAATAAATGGGGGGGGGAATCTGTCCATGCACAGATTGCAATGGAGACATGTTCACGTGCATGACAGAATCAGTCTCTTGGTTTGTTTTTGTTTTTGTTTTACCGTATTAAGATTTTGTTTTTGTTTTTTGAAGTTTAAACTAGTAAAAACATCCATGCCGATGTTCTGTGCTTGCCGTGTGAGTGTCGCTATAGTGCAGTGTTGCAGTTGTAGGGTCTATTTTCATAGCTTTCTCTCTCTCTCTTTTTCTTTTAAGGTAGTGTGAAGTGTCTTATCCTTTTTCTATCAATTCCAATTTGCCTTAACTCTTTTAATGCTGTAGCTGTTTCAGTACGTAGTCCAAACTAATGGTGTAGAATGCTTTTGACCAAATGAGCTGGTCTATTATGCCTTGTAAAACAGCAGGATAGGGCTTTTAACAGGTAGTCGATTAAAATTGCTGAAAAATTTGGCTTTTTAAAAATGTGTAGTAGGTGTTTTTAATGATTTTGTTTCCCCTCACATAATAATGTAAGGTTGTGAAATGCAAGATTGGGGGGGTAGGGAAATGTTTTGTGTGAAACACATTTTCTGACTGGGGGAAATTTTAATAGGATAAATTGTTTGTAAGGCCTTATGCCAATTAGTTTTCCTCTGCTAGTTAGGAACTCTGCTGTATGATGCAATGTAAAAAAAAAAAATCTTTTTGCCTTTTTCCAGAAGATAATTGATGTTCTAGTTTTAGGGTGGGGGAGTTTTGGGGATGGGGAATCCACAGAATGTTTCTGTCCTTCCTTTCTAGTAATGAATAGTGCTTTAGAATGATGCTGTGCAGAGAAAATAGCAAATAGAAGCGTTTGCTTTTACAGCAAAGGCAAAAGCTAAAAGACTTTTTTCAAAACATAAGCTGAGATGTAAGTAGAAAACATACTAGATTGGGTACTAGCTCTCTATATTAGGTAAATAAAGACTTGGCACTTTTTAAAGGTAACTTTACCAAAGAACAAAGAGCCAGTAACCAATAATTCTGATTTTGTCTCAGCAGTTATGTCTTCTGTACTCTTTTAATTTTGTTGCCGGACCAGTTTGCGGTTAGAAGAATGTGCCTTTTTTTGTACATTTGCATTTAGGTTTTATAATTTTTAATTGATGTATGGACACAAACAAACAAACAAAAAGCATGAAGGAAGACTTGGATCCAAGCAGTGCCACACTTTACATCATCACTACAAGTGTTAAGTGTAAAGAAGAAGAAGAAGAAAATACAATTTTGAAACTATGAAATTCCTGATTTAACAAATACACTGTTATTTGTACTTTTTACATATTAGATGATAAAACTCACTGCTATTAAAGCTCATTTTATTATGATCGCATGTGTATTAAATCAAACGGTAAATTAAGTTGTCTTCCAAAACTGTGTACTTGTCTGGTCAGCTGTGTATGATCAGTTATCTACCTCAAGGCTTATTTCCTTTTGTAATGGGACAGGTTGCTGGCCCTCCCTGTTACCACAGACCAAATCATCCTAGCTCAGGAGCTAGGCCTAAGCAATTCTTTCTTTTCACTTATTTTTTTTTAAAGTTTTTAAATTTTATGTGAGTATTCAAGTACAGATGTCAGTGACATTTCATAGTTTCAAAAGTCAATGCTGCTCTGAGAAGTGTAGATTCTAGTAAATTACATAGTCATAAGAAATGTGTTTGTTTCTTTTTGTTTTTGTTCTTTTGTTTTTTTTAAAAAAAAGTTTAAAAAGTTGTGGTATTATTGGTTCTATGCTCCCTGGAATTGACTGCTTTGTCAAAGTTCAGACTTCTTGCAACTCATTCCCTATAGCTGGTGTATTTCCAGATGTGGGGGGAGAAGATGTGGGGGCAGGCAGATATTTGCTACTTGATGTTTTATTTCAATTAGCTAAGCATTAGGGTTAGAGGGAGGGAATAGATGCTGCTAGAAAAGTCTGAACTAAGTGCCATACTCATTATCTGGGTAAGATTTGCAAAATGTAACCTCTGTACATAAAGAAATAATCAGTTACTTAAACATCACATAGTAGACAGCCATTAAATTATAAAAAAATAATTTATGAAGAAAGACCTTTTGTACAGATTGAAAAAAAAAGATTTTCATAGAGATATCTATATGATCAAGAGAGTTAATTTTTTATTTTTGTTTTACTAGTGCCACAAACTTGCCAGTGGTAACTTATTTGTCCGGTTCAAGATACTCTGTCATTTTGTTTCCTAGGACTTGTTGTTAAATGCCAAAAGACATTTTTGAACTGTAAATTTGATTAGATCATTAGTTTTTTTCTGTTTTGTTTCTTTTGAAAACTTTTGAATAAAAAAGATCAAAATATAAACTTTTTATGTGTGTTTTTTAACAGTGGGTGGAAACAAGCAGCTGAACTTTATAACTGGGAAAAAAAGGAGTTGTGGGGGAGTTAGAAAAAATATTACTTCTATCTCAGGTGAATTTACGTAGGCTTTATTGAAATGAATAGTAACTTTCTCAAACTGTAATATATTATTCTCAAGGAAGAAATGCTACATAATGTAAAATGCTTGAAAATGTAGCTAACATAACCGACCAGCTGCCATAAATGAAACAAGGAGGATTTGTCTCTTCAGTGTCCTTCCATTCCAGACCCAGCATTTTTTTGGGAAGATATGGTATCAATAAGCCTCTCACATAATTCTAACCTCATCTAAAATAGTGGCAGTGTTTCCTCTTTATCTTACAATAGTAAAAAGCACATCAAAGGATGTTGGCCAAATATGTAGGAGGAGTTCTTTCAACTTTAGCTCACTTGGCAAGCCTCTACTCTGGGTGGTAGGCTGCCTCTACTCTGGGTGGTACCTTCAGAGAACTTGTTTCTTGCACCAGGACATGTGATCCCTTGTATATAGGAAGGCCCAAGAAAGGGCACTCTCTGTGGCAGTCCCTTAGCTGTCAGATCAGATAAGAGCACAAATTCAGTCAGGCTTGCTTTGGGAAAGTGTGTGAGGGAAGTTGTCTAGTGACCTGAAGCAAGCCCTGGCGAATTGCCTGTGCCACGTATAAGATCTGGCTTGATAGGACAGTTGCTCCGTGCCAGTAGATAGCCCTTCCACAGAAGCATCTTGCCATTAAAAGATTGTATCTCCCTGCTTGGCCTATAATGAGATCTGACTAAGAGAATTGGATGATGGGGAGTAGGAAATTCATGGGCATGGGTTTTGGATGCATTTAGATCTCTGTATATTCTTTTATTTACTTTTTAAGCCTGTTAAATTCATCAGTGGCTCAGGGCAGGAAAGATAATGTACTGCTTCTGCGGAACTCAGCTTCTTGTCCGTTTTTCATTCTATCAGCCACAGGGTGAGTTAAAAGCTTTTCATTCCATGAGAATCAAGATTCTCCCCAAGGACTCATTTGAGACATTCCACAGTGTCTCAAGAGCCAGTGTGGTGTAGTGGTTACGAGCAGTAGACTCGTAATCTGGTGAACCGGGTTCGCATCTCCGCTCCTCCACATGCAACTGCTGGGTGACCTTGGGCTAGTCACACTTCTCTGAAGTCTCTCAGCCCCACTCACCTCACAGGGTGTCTGTTGTGGGGGAGGAAGTGAAAGGAGATTGTGAGCTGCTTTGAGACTCCTTAGGGTAGCGATAAAGCCAGATATCAAATCCAAACGCAACTCTTCTTCTCTTCTTAATGCCACCAAGACAAAAAGATGAGTGCCTTGAAATGATACAAGGTGGTACCGCTGGATGAATGGACCAAAGGAGTATATCACACACTTTTTCACACTTTCTTCAACAGACAGATTAGGAATACCCAACTTTAGGGTATCTAAAGGGGGGGCACATTTCGAAACTCTTGTGGGCACCCATTTCAAAGAAGAAGAACTGGAAATGCCCCGAACCTTTTCTCAGTTCCCTTCTTTCACCAAGAGGCAAAATGTCTATTTCTCTCCAGGATAAATAATACATGTTTGGGGGACTTTCCAGCTTAAAAAAAAACAATAGGAGGGAAAAACCCTCCATGCTTTTTTTTTTAAAAAAAAAGGAAGGGTAGGAGGACTTGGTGGGCACCAAGAGGATGTTTAGGATGTCAATGTGTTCATAGGTGCCATGTTGGAGCCTTAGAATTAGATACTTGTCCATTGTACATCTCCTAGTAGATGTCCATAATATGTTACAGGAAAGCGTTTGTCTGTAAATGTATAGCAGACACGTTTCTGAGATCATTGGCCAAGAATGGATCCTTGCCCACATACTGTATGCAGTGACCCCCTGTATCCCCTCTGTTCACAACATCAGGATATCTAATATAATACAAAACTCGGCTGCCGCGTGAAGTGTGAGTTGTCCATTAGAGGGGAAGGGAATTTATTTTGTATATTCTCAGTGGCTCTCCCAACCGTTAAGTGTTCATATTTGTGCTTTGTTGAAATCTTCAACTCCAACACTGATTATTCACATTGCATTCTTAAGGGCAACGTTAGAAGTGAGGGATTTGCTGGTGGGAGGATATTGCTTCAGTCTGAAAGGGTGTGGGGGAAGGAGCTTCTGATCAGTTCCAGTCAATTCCCTTCCTGAAAATATTTTGCTGATGAAATAATCCACCAGTTATCTCTGGGAAAACAGTTCAGGACAAAAAGAACACACCACCGCCTATATTTCAGCCAGTGAATGGGATCCTCATTGATTCCAGATGGCAGTCACATGACCAGCACTAGTTATGCACAAAGAGAAAGATCCTTTATGAAAGCTGCTCTGAATTCCTGAACATAAAAATGGGGGAGTTGAGGGCAAATGTACAAATGCTCTGCTCTAAAGGTCCTCTTTGCCTTTAGGGCTGCTTATCCCAGAAGTGTCTTCATTTTAGTAGCAGCCACAGAATTTTCCTCTGAGCTATTTTGGGACCAGGGTTGGGGAGGGGGAAGGGGGAACAGACATGGAACAAATCCATTATCTTTCCCAGAAGGGAATGGGATTTCAATGGCTTTACTCTCATTAGCCACTAGAGGGCAACTTCATTTCGTTAATATGCAAACAATATGTTACTTGTCCATTTATATGTCTGGAATATATATTTCAAGACCTGTCGGGGAGAAGACTAAAATGTAGTTTTTATACAGAACATTGTTACCTTCCACTGCCTTCAGAAGCTTGAGGCATCCATCCTTAATTGGAGGGAAAAGGTTGCCTTGGTGACATATATTTAGAACAATTTTTGAAATAGCTTAACTAATTTAAAGGACATTTTTTCTGACTTGATCCTGAAATAATAAATAACACAGGATTGTCATCAAATTTTATCATATACTGCAAAGTGGATTGCTTCAATAAAAATAGTAATTAGATTATTACATTACATTATATCTCAAATGCCAAATAACTGAGGGTCTCTGGGCACCAAAGCAGAACAAAATAATGGTTCCCGTAAAACTAGCTTAACACCACAAGAAACTTCAGCAGAAATCACATTACAGCAGACCATAAAATCCTCCTAAAGGCAAAAAGCACCATCACAAAATGGAGATGTTAGGATGTTAGCAATAAAGCTGGTTTAAAGATTTAAATCTTTAAAAGGCCCAAGAAAATAAAAAGTATGAAGTATGTGCCAGGAAAAGCTTCCTGGGAAAGGCATTCTGCAACCAGGGGGCTGCCATTGAGAAGGCCCTTCTCTTTCTCCTACACAGCCTCTGTATCTTGGGCTTCAGCCCATTGTCAACGCACACAAATGCTCTATTAATTTACCATTAAACATGATATTAATAAAACTGTTAATCCTTGCCCTTCCCTCGCTGAACCTGTGAAGAGATTACCTGAAATCTTCACAATGTTTTGATTTCTAAGATTTTCATGTTGGTATGGAGGAATTGTATTTGACACCTGTTAAGGTCATATGTTCAGATGATGATATACAGGCTGTTAAAATCAATTATTTAATTCACTAGACTCACAATAGCACTCACAATATGAAAACTATTACAACACTTCTATGCAATAAAGGAACAACATACCCCACTGCTACCCAGGAATAATACCGGTATCTAGAAAATAAAAATCATCTTATAAAACAATGGAAATATATCAAATCTCTAAAAGTTTGCTTGTCTTATGTTTCTGCTATCATCACATCCCTTTGTGCATATGGCTATCATTGTGGCTACATCCAGAGCAATATATAAAATTCCAGAATTGCACCCATATCTACCCAGACTGCTCAGATATAATATGAATCAAGCATCATTTTAAGTTGTTTTCTGGTTCAGAATGCATAAAGCAAGATTCCTCACATAAGCAATAGCATTTAAGGCCAGGCTGCTCTGAATATTAGCTTCCTCCTCACAAAGAAGCTCTCGCTGATTGCTGTGATGCTCTGTAAACTACAAAGCCAACAGCAAGTTGGCTATGAAGTTCTTAGCTGTTTAGCCCTTACCTTTCACAGTGATCAACCATCCACTCAAATAGCCTTTGCACGGTGAGTATCTCTATTTTGAGCAACTCCTCCAATTACTTCTTTTAAAGAAATGTATATGGTTTCTATGCCCCCACTCCAGATCTTTACACACACACACAAACTGTATTGCTCTCAGGATATTTGTTTTGGCAAGGGGTACTGGTGAATTCCTAAGCAGTTCTCAACTCCGGCTGTTGCTGGGAACAACAACTCCCAGAGAACAATGTAATAAGGCACACATGCATAGCACCAGCAATCTGCATGCACCAAACCAGGAGAGAACTCTTAGAAATAGATGGGATGCTCAGAAGAACATAGGCTCTGATCCTAACCAGAGTTTCTTCCATTCATGGATGGGACTAAGATCTGGTGGAGGAACTTGCTGGCAGAAGAAAGGGGAGGCATTTTTTGCCAGTTCTCCCCATACTGTCTCTCATGCTGCTCAGAAGGGTTCCCCAAACCGGAGCAGATTTGGGAGGGACGGGTTGTAAGAGGAGGGGAGAATGCGTGAACATTGCCTCCTTCCTTTCTCCTGATAGGAATGTACCAAGAGTGAATTTAAGAAGAGCCTGCTCAATCAGGCCAATACTGATTCTAGCATCCTGTTCTCACAGTGGCCAACCAGATGCCTACTGTAAGACCCAAAGCAGGACCTGAGCAAAATAGCAC